TGGTCAAGAGAAAAGAGAATTCATAATACCCACTATTAAACAAGGGGCATCATTATGGAACTTACAGACATGAAAAATATGAGTGGATTACAAGCACACTGATGACAAGAAATTTGAAAATTCTGATGAAATGCACTAATTCCTAGAAAAATACAATTTACTTAAACTGACTCAGGGAGAATCAGGAACTTTAAATAGTTCCATGTCTAATAAAGATATTAAATCCCTAGTTTAAAATCTTTGCACAAAAAACTTACTGGGCCTAAATAGTGTCACTCCTGAATTCTACCAAACATTTGAAGAAATAACCCCAATCTTACAAAAAAACTTTCCAGAGAGGAGAAAAATAAAAATAATTTACAACTTGTTTTATGAAACTAGAATAGACCTGATTTACCAAAATGTGAAAGGGGCATTACAAGAAAAAAAATTTACAGGTCCAGCTCTCATATGAACACTGGTGCAAAAAACCCCATACAAAATAGTAGCAAACTGAATTTACTTACAGATACAAGCTATCTTATATCACTACAAAGTTGAATTTGTTCCTAGAATCTAATGTGGGTTTCAAATTCGAAAAATAAATGCAACTCACCACATTAACAAAATAAATGAGAATAATTAAATGATAATCTCGACAGCTATAGAATAAGCTAATAGTTATGGTCAATAACTATAGAAAAATTAACAAAATTCAATACCATTCATGATGATTAAAAAAACACCTTAGCAAAAACTTGATGCACATATGATACTTGATGAAATACTGAAAGTTTGACCTTGAAATCAGGAAAACGACAGGGGCGTCAGCTAATGCCACTACTACTCAGCACTGTACTGGAGGTCCCAGCCAATGCCGTTAAAAAAAAAAAAAAAAAAAAAAAAAAGGAAGCACATAAGGATTACAAAGAGAAATCTAAAGCAGTCCTTATTCAAAGATAACATGTTTGTATATGTAAATGTTCTAGCAGAATCTACACATAAACCAACAGTTATCAAGTAAATTCTGCAAGGTCACTAGTGAAAGTTAAGAAAATCAACTGCATTTTTACATACTAGCAATAAGCACTTAAGAGATAATTTTTTTAAAACTGTAACAGTAGCAGTCCAAATCATTAAATACCTAAGAAAAATACTAACACTGATGCACAAAGCCGCTCTAAAGAACAGTAAGTGCACAATAAAAATCCCAACAGGATTCTATGTGTGTGGAAATTGCCGAGTTGCCTCCAAAATATATGTGGACATGCGAAGATGAATGTAGGCCAACCGGTGTATCAGACAACCCCCAAATCTCAATGGCTTGTTGTGGGGACGCTTGTTTCTTGCCCACACAATAGTTCAAGACCAGGCTCAGTGGGTGGCCTTCCACACAGGCCCTAGGCCCAGGTCACCCTGACCCCAGCAGCTCTGCTCTGTTCTCCTGAGCTTCTACCGTGAGGGAAGGGCGGTGGAGGGCTGTCCAGGAGGCTGTTTTTATGGGTCAGGCCTGGAAGTGGCCTTCATTGCTCCTGCTTGCATTTCAGCATGGGAAGGTAGACGGGGAGAATCAGTACAGCCAGGTGCCCAGGACAGAGGGAGCAGGTGTGGGGATGACTGCCCAGCCTGGCCCGGTCTGCCATGTGGTCACTGGTATCCAGGTCACTCCTCCTCTACACAGAAAGTCACTCCCCCAGAGTGGAGCACCCCCAACACCACTGTCACTGCCCAGCTCAGATGCTGGGGCAACTGGGTCCCGATTTGGCCTGCAGTCTACGAGCTAGAAAGACAATGAATGTGTCTGCATCCTTGCTGTGACCTGACGTCTAATGGGGGCACGGGGCAGGACAACTAAGAACACTCCCCACCGCACCAAGGGAGAAGGAAGAACACAGGTGCATGGCATGAGGTATTTGAGGATGGGTGCTGGGGGCTCCTTCCCCAGGGAGAGCCTGGGCTAGACTGCAGCTCTGCCTTCTGGGGGAGCTCTCTTGTCTGCTGTCTCCAAGCCCTGCTTCTGCCTGCTGGGGTTCCCATCAAGTGAAGTGAGGCAGAAGTGCTGCCTCAACTTTCAAGGCTTTCACCCTCGAGACTTATCTCTTACCACTTGGAGTTTAAAAGCAACTGGCGTGTCCATGACTGTGGGGCATCCTAATCCTTCATCTCCTTACTATAGCTACTCCTTTCCATGTGTGTGTAAAAATCGGCACAGTCTAGCTTACACTCTCTCTCCTCAAGGAGGCAGATGTGGGGAGAGCACAGCCCCTGCTCTGCTCCAGGCTCACCGGAGTCTCCCTTCCCGAAGGCCCGGCCACCCACCACATCCCCAGGCACATCCTTCAGTCTGCCCTGCTCCCTGGCCATCCACCACCCGACCAATACAGTGGTGCCCTATTTTGTGTGTTCAGTCATAACGGAGCATTTTAATGACAAACAAATCAATATATAAAGATATCTTAGGTGGTGACACACACTGCGAAGCAGAATAATCCAGGTCAAGGAACACAGCGTCAGAGGGTCACTTTTACACGGTGGTGTCTGTCACAATCAGGTCTGGGGAAGTTCACTCATAACATGTTTTGTTTTAAAGACAAAATAATATGAGAATAGAAACGATCAGAGGGTGCTGCACTAAGCGAGGGTAAGAACTGCTTCGTGAAATTGATTTCACAGAAGCGCTCATGCACAGATGCACCCACGTGCAAGTGCACACACTGCCATAATATAAAGCGTCCCTTCTATTGCAGGTCAGGGTCAAAGAAGCCAGTGTGACCCAGAGCTGTTGGTGATGTCTCCTGACATTCCATAGACACCTTAAGGCTGCGGGGGATGGAGCCTGTGGCCATCTGAGAGGACATTCCAGTCAGAGGGAACAGGAAAGCCAGGCACTGAGGTGGAAGACCCTGGCTCCTGGAGAGGCTGTAGCCCACAGTTGCTGCCTGGGGACCACAAGGCTGCCAGAGGCTAGGCCACAGGGCCTACAGGCGTGGGGGACTTTGGCATTGACTCCTGGAAATTTGGGATGCATTTACTCAGATCCCTCTGGCTGCAGGGTGAAGAGGCTCTAGGAAGCCAGAGTGAGAGGAGGAGGAACCAGAAGCTCCTATGGGGGGTGGAGCAACAGGGAAAGGAAGACCGGCATTCGGAAGAGACTACGGAAGAAAGAGCCCACACAGTCTGTGATGGTTTAGAGAAAGAGAAGCAGGAACAACTTCCACATTTTAAACAATTTTACTTACACACACACACACACACACACACACACTCAGACACACAGAAAGGAACACATGCCTTTTTAAACGCCCATCAAATATGAACAATTACCATGTATTAAACCACAGTGAAAATCCTGATAATTAAAAAACCCACATAGCCATATTCTCTCATCAGAATGCCATAGGATGAAAAATTAACGATGAAAATGACAGGGAGCTAAAATCTAACCACTTGGAAACTAAAGCATATCCTTTCAAATAATTCTTGAGTTAAAAAAATAAAAAGACAGATTAGAGTTTATTTAGAAAAGAGAGAAAAGTGGTACTCAAAATGATATAGAATAGCAGTGCATAGAAAGACACGGATGGTCTTAAATATATTTACTAGGAAACAAGAAAGTAAGTAAACGACCTGAACATTCCACCCAAGCTAGAGTAAGGCTAAGGGCTCACCAGCCTCCAGTCTGACCATGTGACAGGGCTTAGTGCGGGATCACTACATGAGGAGCAGAAGCAGGCAGTCACTGAGCCTCTAAGCTGCCACACGTGTGGAAGAAAAGAAAGTATTTTCTGTTAAAAGTGTAAACATTTACATCTTTTGCCCTTGCTTTTTCATCACTTCAGGAATTTATGTCACAGAAATATTCTTACAAATGTGGAGAGATACTGGTTAAAAATGTTCACTGGAAGGTTGTCTGAAACAGAAAAACCGAAAAAACCCAAAAGCTCACTGATAGGAAAATACTAAAACATAATGCAGTCATTTTAAGAGTGAGTGTGCCCAAAATATAATGTCAACTGAGAAGACACCATTTTTTTTGTTTGTTTGTTTGAGACGGAGTCTTGCTCTGTCACCCAGGCTGGAGTGCAGTGGCGTGATTTCAGCTTACCCACAGCCTCTGTCTCCCAGGTTCACGCCATTCTCCTGTCTTAGCCTCTCGAGTAGCTGGGACTAGAGGCGCCTGCCACTACACCCGGCTAATGTTTTGTACTTTTAGTAGAGATGGGGTGTCACTGTGTTAGCCAGGATGGTCTCAATCTCCTGACCTCACGATCCGCTCGCCTTGGCCTCCCAAAGTGCTAGGATTACAGGCGTGTCCTACCGTGCCTGGCAGAGAAGACACCATTTTTATGAAAAGGTAAATCACAATAACACACATAGAACAGGTGCCAAACTCCTGGTCACTGTCATCTCTGGGAAACAGGATCTGGGGACTTACACAACTGCCATTATCATTTCCTGTACTGTATGAATGTTGTGTAACTTTGTATTATGTTTGTAATCAGAGAAAAACAACTATTATATTTAAATCATCAGACCAAATGCACATTTTGGAGATCAGGCAGAGAAAACACCAATCATTTGTTTATACCAATAACAAGTTAAACTGCGTATTTTATAGAGAGAACAAAAGGCATTGTTTTAAGTCTTCAGCAGTAATTGATTTTAAACTTACTTTACCAACAACACTCTTAATTATATATAACCCCTATACAAATCCAAACTCTATCACCCGCTTCAGGTGCTTGTATGGTGCTAAAGAAATCTATTTAACCCACTTTCATTTCTAGGAACACAGCACGATTCAACAACCTAGGAATAAGGTCAATCTACAGCTAAGAAAGTTTTAAAAACGTAAGTTTTAAAAACTAAATCCTAACTGCATTTTGATCACTCAGATATCTTTGTTAACGTAGCAGAGTGACTGAAAATTTTAGACACCACAAATGACTAAAAATTAAATAACGAATTTAAAAGGAAATATGACTGTGATTAAGATGCAGATACTACAGATTTTAACTTACATGTTTTGAAAGTAAAACTGTACGACAAGGAGCTTTACAAATCAAGCATTCATTCTTTTTACCTGTAAGATAAAAATAGGCTTCATTATATTAGACTGACTACTGCTTTTAAGTATGTATACATGCAGACTTTACAATGTTTCTTCAAGAAATAAGCAGGATTATATCACAGGTTTTCATGTTCTGACAGGATGAGACTGTAGGTTCTGGTACAGTTGGAAGGATTTATAGAACGAACATCCTTTTCCCCTCCTTTGCCAATATGCACAAAAACAGTGACCATAAAGATCAACAACACTTAAGGCTAAGTCTATCCCAGGTATTTATTACAATAAAGCTTTTTAAAAATTAAAATTAAAAAAATTTTTTGAGACAAGGTCTTGCTCTGTTGCCCAGGTTGATCTGCAAGTGGCATGATCACAGCTCACTACAGCCTTGACCCCTCCCCGGGCTCAACAGTCTTCCCCTCTCAGCCTCCCTGAGTAGCTAGGACCACAGACGTGTGCCACCACGGCCAGCTAATTTTTAATTATTATTATTTTTTTTTGTAGAGACAAGGTCTCACTATGTTGTCCAGGCTGGGCTCGAACTCCTGGGCTCAAACAATCCTCCCACCTCAGCCTCCCAAGGTGCTGGGATTGCAGGCGTGAGCCACTGTGCCTGGCCATAATTAGCTTTTTCTTTTTTTTTTTTTGAAACAGAGTTTCACTTTGTCACCCAGGTGGGAGTGTAATGATGCGATCTTGGCTCACTGCAACCTCCACCTCCTGGGTTCAAGCGATTCTCATGCCTCAGTCTCCCAAGTGACTGGGAGTATAGGTGCCTACCAACACATTTGGCTAATTTTTGTATTTTTAGTAGAGACTGGGTTTTGCCATGTTGGCCACGCTCGCCTTGAACTCCTGACCTCAGGTGATCTGCCCACCTTGGTCTCTCAAAGAGCTGGGATTGTAGGCATGAGCCATACGCCCAGCCCATGATTAGGCTTTATAGTGACCTCTTAATCTAAATTTTTAACTATTCAAAATGAACCTCAAGCTTGATTTTCTCACTAGTCAGGTTGGAGCCCAGAGCGGACCAGGCACTATGAGCCTTCACGCTCCTGTCATTCCACGGAGGACACCAGGCCCAAACCTGAACAAGCCTGGTGTATTTCTCCCCTCCTCTGGGTCAGCACAGCTAGAACTACGAGAAAAACATCTCTTAAGTGAGAGGAGTGAGAGGTGGATTCACAGACTTGAGGATTCCAGCGCTGCTGAGTCAGCAACACTGCTGGGCAATCCTGCTTTTCCTGGGTGTTTTCTGCCCCATTCCCCACGGGGCTGTTCAAACCAGGGCCCTCATATCATCTACTGAGAAGCAGCCCTGGCTCATGACCTACCTCAATTTCTCTGCCCTCTCCTCTAGACTGACCCACCACAGAACAACCCACTTCACTCTACCTCCTTCCTTTCTGCCTTGGAGGGAGCATCTCTTCCAGTCCAAGCCCAGGCTTTCACTTGTGTATCCACACTCACCTCAGTGTCCGCAGCTCCCAGCACACAGAACGGTGTCCTACTGTGGAATGAGGGGTCCCCTTCTAACAGCCTCCAGAACTGTCTCCTTTCCTCTCTTCTTCAAGTTGCCCTCATGCTAAAAACATCTACCCTTGACAGTAGGTCCCTTCCCTTCCAGCTCTTTAACTGCGAATTCTGGAGCAAGAAAATTCCTCTTCTGCACCATCGCAGCCAGGAGTTATGCAGTAAAAGATTAACAGAGCTGACTCATAAAAATCTAAAAGCTCTTACGAGGGAGGAGGATTAACAGACAAGACAGAGAGGAAATCACGTGCAGCCAATAGACAAAGGGGTTGATGCCTGATCTACAAATAGTGCTCACAAGTCAATTAAAAGGAAACACCTCAACAAAAGGCTATGAGGAGACCTGAACAGACATAGGAAAAAATGCAAACAGCCGACAAACACACAAAATGAAGGTCAAGGTCACTAGTAAGAGACACCAAAGAGGAGAGAACAACAGGTGCTCACGTGTCACTACAGGGAACAGAAACACGCACATCCTTTGTGCCTGTTTGGGTCACAATTGGGTCAGTTTTCATGTGCACACCCGCAGCCTAGCCACTCCACCCCTAAGAATATATTCCAAGGAAAAAAAGTAAGAGAACAAGTGGTATCTCATAGCAAAATAGCAGAAAATATGTTATGGTATGATAACCAAAAGATACATCATGCAACCTTAAGAATGATGATACAGACTTATTTTAACATGGAAGGAGGTCCATGTTTGAGTAATAAAAGCAGATAACTGAATGACAGACACACTGTATTGCTTTTAAAAATCTGCATCTATAGGAAAAGCTTGGAAGGATATATGCCAGAGCTAAACAAGGGCTTCCTTCTGAGTGACACACCACTGGACAGCTACGGAGCTACAGTAAGGGCTCTGCCCAGAGCCTCCATCCCTTTTCACCATTTTTTGTGTGTCCTTGGATTTAGTGTCGTCCCAACATGCAGCATCAGTGGCTTTTTGGAGGCATGCACTCAGACTACCGGCTTTAAGAGATAGACAAACTTGTCAATCTCTACCTGCCCCAGGCCCTTAACCAGTCATCTGCCAACGCAGGGTATGCTGACCTCGAAAGCTATGACACTCTGAGCCGTCTTCACACTTTCCAACACCACGAAGGTACGTGTGTCTCCATCATTCCTAACAATGTTATCTTTGAGGAATGTTATCTTGGGTCACCAGTGCCCTCCTCACTGGTCCAATGGACACTTTCAAACACCAATTCCTTGATTTCACTGGGATGTCCAGTTCATCAACATCTCTCTTCTTCACCTGACATCTTCCTTACCTCCTTCAACAAATGCTCTTTCCAACAAGATAGTCTCTTACAGTTTCCTTTGCCTTTGGGGCTCTCCACACTCCAGTATCTAGGATTATTATCCTGTGTTAATCACTCCCCAAATGTATTCCTGGCTGTCTTAGTTCTGGACCCACACGGGCAACTGCCTCTTGTCTTCCCCTGGGTGGCTCTCACAGGACACAGGCCATGTCCAAACATGAGCTCAGGAGCCCTGCATCCCACCCTGCTACGTTCCCTCCCGCTGGGCTCCTCTCCAGTGTTTTGTCTAGCAGCGAAACTCTGTCCTGTTCTCTAGCCCTTGTCTCCGACTCAAGTCTGCTGAATCTACCTAACTTCTCCTGAACCCATCACTTCTCCCCATCACCTCTCATGTGCTCAGCTGCAGTCTCTCCCACAGTTTCTATCTCCCTCCAATCTACTTTTCACACGGCTGCCAGAGAGACTTTTGTTTTTAAATACACACCTGAAATCAACAACTCCACTCCTAGGTTACACACCCAACAGAAATGTGTACCTAAGATCACCAAACACAGGAGTGAGAAGATTCACAGCGGCACCATTTCTGCAGCCAAATCCGCAAACAACCCGGATGGCCATGGACAGTGGAAATGATAAATAACTTGGGGTGTATCCATACGATGGAATACCACACAATGAAAGTAGATGAACTACAGTTACATACAAATACAAAGACGACACTTCGGGAGGCCAAGGCGGGTGATCATTAGAGAACAGGAATTGGAGACCATCCTGGGCACCAAAGGGTGCCCCATCTCTGTGAAAAATTTAAAAATCAGGGGTACATGGCTGCACATGCTTGTAACCCCAGCCACCCCGGAGGCTGAGGCAGGAGGATCACTTGAGCCTGGGAGGCTGAGGCTGCAGTTAGCCAAGATCCTGCACTGAACTCCAGCCTGGGCGACAGAGCAGAGCTCTGCCTTGAAAGAGAGAAAGTAAGGGAGAAAAAGGAAGAAAGAGGGGGAGCCACGGAAAGCAGCTTTGCAGTAGGGCTGGTTGTAGGGCCACATTCACCAAGGTCCCATGGGTCTAAGGCCAACTCCGAAGATGGAGGTTAGCACAGCGGGCGTCCCCTGGGCTGGCTGTGAGCCACCGGCACCCAGCTGGCTGCTTTCCCGGGTAAGTTCACTTGGTTACCCGGTAAGTTCACTTGTGCTCTTGCTTTCGTTTTTGCATAAACATCACTTCAACACAAAATTTTCATAGAAAGAAAAACGCCTCCCTGACAATGCGATGTCCGCTTGACACCAGGGCCCAGCGCTGTCCGGGGAACAGGGCCAGAGTCCTCCACGAGCGTTAAGGCTGCCGTCCACCCGCCTTCTCCCCCAGGTCCTCCAGGCGGGACCCGCAGCCTGCAAGCCAGAGCCCCGCGATGACAGGACTCGCGGCCTGACCCCCGCTGTCACCCTCATCTGCTCCTCATGGCGGCCCTCCCCCCCGCCCCCGTGGCCCCCCCCCGCCCCCGCGGCCCCTTCCTGCCTGCGGCCCCTCACCCGCGCCCTCCTCCCCGGTGTCTCCCTTCCCCCCATCTCCCCGGTATCCCCCTTCACCCCCTTGACCTCTCACATCCCCCCCGCCCCCTCCCCTAGCGTCCCCTTCCTCCCTGCAGCCCCCCCACCACCTCCGGGGTCCCCTCTCCCCCCACCCTCCCACAGCCCCTCACTCCCCGCCTCCCTCCCCAACGCTTCCCCGGTGTCCCCCCCTCCCCAGCGGCCCCTCATCACACTAGAGGAGCCCTCTCCCCGGTGGCCCCTCCTCCGAATCCCCCTATCTCCGCAGCCCCTCACCCCCCCATGCCCCCTCCTTCTCCACGCGCCCTCTCTCCCCCGCGGCCCCTCCCCCCGAGTCCCCCTCCCCTCAGGGTCCCCCGGCATCTCCCCTGGCATCCCCCTCCCCCCGCGGCCCCGCCCCCTCCCCTTCTCCACCCGCCCTGTCTCCTCCGCGGCCCCCCACGTGCCCCCATGGCCTTCCCACCCAAGCCCCCCACCCCCCGGAGTTCCCTGCCCCCGCCCGCCGCTCCCCTCCCCTCTCCAGCCTGCGTTCCGGACGCCCTGACCTTTGCCGAGGCAGGCATCGCAGTACACGTGCCCGCAGTTGGTGAGGCTGAAGCAAGACGTCCTCTGGGGCGGCTGGAAGCAGCGATTACAGAACACCCAGTTGGCCATGCCAGGCAGGCGACCGCAGCGGCGAGGCCGGGCCCACGCGAGGCCCACGCAAGGCTGGGACCAGCCTCCACGCGCTGGGCCCGAGGGCGGGCAGCTCTGCGCCTGCGCAAACTCGACGGCAGCTCTGCGCTCGCGCCCTCCCGCCAACCCCGCGGGCGGCCCTGCAGCACTCGTGAGGGCGCGTCTGACTCCTCTCCCGGGTCGTTTCGGCTGGAGTAGGCGGAGGAACGCACCGCGAGCACCGACGTCCCGTCCCTGTTTTTGCGGTCCTCAGGTGTTTTGTGGAAGCCCGGCCTGGGTGGCGGGCGCTGGGAACGGCGGCTGCGCTGAGGAGGCGTCGGGCGCTGGGAATGGCGGCTGCGCTGAGGAGGCGTCGGGCGCTGGGAATGGCGGCTGCGCTGAGGAGGCGTCGGGCGCGACCGCAGTGGGGGAGGGGCAGGGGGAGCGCGGAGGGGGTGGGGGATGCGGGCCAGGCCCACCTCGAGGGCGGGGAGCTGGGCCTGAGGCCAGGGCGGCCGGGGTAGTGTGCGGGGCAGGCCGGGGAGGAGTCGGGGGAGTGGGTGTGGGAGCCCTGGGAGCGGGATGGGAGGGAGGGAGAAGTGGGTGTGGGAGTTGGGGTGGGAGCAGGAGCGGGAGTGGGGATGTGGGAGTTGGGGTGGGTGTGGGGCCGTGAGGCGGTGGGGTTGGACGGCGGTGGGGGTGAGGCGGTGGGGTTGGGGCGGTGCGGGTTGGGGTGGGGTGGGGGTGGGGCGGTTGGGGTGGGGGCTAGGTCGCACTGTGCGCTTTGGAGCTAGTGACCAGGTGGCTGCTGGTGCAGAGACCTCACCACGGGAGGCCTGAGCCTGCTTCCTCTGAAACAGAAGGCGTCGCCTGGGAAGGACCTTTGCTGCTTCCAGCTTCCAGCATGGGGAAGTGAGTTTTTATAAAATTGTCCTCCCCGTGGTTCTGAGTTTCCACCCTCGGGGACGCTGCAAAGCTCCGATCGAGAGGCTCAGGCACGTGCTTGTGCCGGGAGAGCACAGGGTGAGTGCGCTCGGTAGCTGCGGGCCAAGTGGCCCCTGCGCCCATACAGCTGTTTCCAGGGCCTCATGTGAAAAACGTCTTAAATTTTATGTTGATTACATGTTAAAGTGATATTTTTGATATATTAGGTTAAATATATCACTAGCGTTGATTTTACTCTTTCAAAAAATCCTTTTCAATGTGGAGACTGGGAAACACAGAATTACGTATGGGCTGGGTGCGGTGGCTCACGTCTGTAATCCCAGCACTTTGGGAGGCTGAGGCGGGCGAATCACCTGAGGTCAGGAGTTCGAGACCAGCCTGGCCAACATAGTAAAACCCCCTCTCTACTAAAAATACAAAATTAGCAGGCATGGTGGCAGGCGCCTGTAATCCCAGCTACTCAGGAGGCTGAGGCAGGAGAATCCCTTGAACCCAGGAGGCGGAGGTTGCAGTGAGCCGAAGTCACACCACTGCACTGCAGCCTGGGCAACAGAGTGAGACTTTGTCTCAACGACAACAAATTAGAATTATATATGTAGCCCACTTTTATTTCTGTTAGACAGTGCTGATCTCTACCAAGTTTAAAATAGCAAGACCAGCAACATGGCAAAACCACGTCTCTACAAAAATTAGCTGGGTGTGGTGGTGGGTGCCTGGGGTCCCAGCTACTCGGGAGACTGAGGTGGGAGGATCGATCACTTGGGCCCTGGAGGTCGAGGCTGCAGTGAGCCTTAGGGCACCTGTGCAGCAGAGCGAGACTCTGTCTCAAAAATAAGTAAGAACAGGATGAGGTGCCTGATCTGTCAAATTCAGAAGCTGTATTATAAAAGCATTCTATCAATGTTACAATGATATAATGTTAATTTCAATCTCTGGTATCTTTGAAATCATAAAAGTAATACACATTTATGCAGGAATTTTGATTTATTAACTCAAACATTATGCAAATTATTTGTCCTTATTGATAATATTTTAAACAAGCTTCTTAGCTATAAAGAAATCTTTCAGGTATTTCATTTGGAAAATTCCTACTGAGATAAGGATTAGTATTTGTGCAAAAGCCCACCATAAAACATTACTATTTGTGTCTTCACTGGTCATCCGAAAATTTTCTTCACGGTCCTATGCGAAAAAGAAATAGACAGGTTTAGTGTCATAAAGTACTTAACTCATGATTTTGAGGAGAGGATTGTTGTGGGCGTTCAAGGTATTTAATATTACCCAATTAATACCTTACACCAATGTATCCGTGCAGTCTGCTTTTCTAAACCAGAATCCATTGCTTAGGCAAGTATAAGAGAGTAAAAATCAACCTTATAAAAGATGTTTTTGTATTTTGGTGTAAAATATCAAGAATTTGACCTATTTATATATCTTATTTGCTACCATCAGGCAAAGCGAACATTACCCAATAGTGGTAGATTTCATCATTTGAGTCCAGCTTTTATGCCAGGCATTAGACCAAGCACTTGCATGCCTTATTTGCTTATCACACCTGTCCTTATCTACCTGGTAAGGAAACTGAAGCTTAGAGATGACACAGATTACTGACATGTAGATGAGATTTAAGCCCCTATCTGACCAACATCCACTTAGTGTAGTGACTCAAAAAGCACCTAATGTTATAAGAATAAAATTGTGATTTGGAAAGTGAGCACACACGAGTCTCTACAAATATATAGGATGCATTTGGAAGCATTTATTCATTCTGCAAGCTCACACTCGTGCTGCTGGGGACTTTGCTAGGCACAGGGCATAAAAAGATGAATGAACTGAAATTCTCTTTCCTAGAGGAGCTCATGGTCCAGCAGACAGAGTGAAGAAAAATTGCTCTCTCCAATCCCTGTGAGTCCACACGGTTCTACCTCAGATAGAAAGAGTGAACAGGCAGTTCATTCTTTCCTTGGTCCAGGGGCTTTGCGTTGAGAAATGCGTTGCTAGTAGCAAGAGATAAAATAAGCTGAATAGGCAGACTGACCCTTTGATAGTTTTGTTCTTTGACTATTTGCCCAATTTGTTCAATTAGATATTCAAGCTTGAAGGTAAGTTCATTAACTTTGTCCTTTGCTTGAGCAATGGCCGCATCAAGGTCGTGTTCTCCAACCCGAATATCTAAGTGGATCCTCTGTACAAACAGTAAAAAGGAAAAAATGGCATGTTTTTAAAAACAGCTCCACTCTTTTTCCTTACTTTCTCACTCTTGTATCCTCCCATTCCTCCGTCCTTCCTTTTTCTCCCTTCCCCCTTTTCATAAGCAGGGCGCTACTTCACTCTTCAGCTCCCTTTTTTCCCTCAGTGCCATTCTTCCTTGTTCTACTTGGTAGTCTTTCTTGTAATAATAATGCATTAAATGGTAAATTACTGACCTTACAGTATATTTATACCTTCCTGAACATCAAATTAACTATTAGGTAAATGACTTTGGTTTGGAGAAAATTTGATTAATGTTCTGAGGGAAATTTTCTTTACATATAACTAAATTTCTTATGCTAAAGTACAAATTGTTTTCATCAGTTCTGAACACATTTAGAAAATAACCAATCACCATCTACCGTGTAAGAGTTTTATTTATTAGAATTCCATTATTAATCCACCCTTCAGCCTTCACTTGTTTTCAAGCCTGAATAATCACAGTTCTTTTAACCTTCCCTCACGGCTCTTATTTTTCAACCCTTTAATCAACTTCATGGCTCTCCTTTGAACCCCTTCCAAGCTCTCCAGCTCCCTCTTTGGTTGCTGCGATGAGATCTGGGCATAGGACTTTAATAAGTTTCTAGCCAGTTTGAGTGTAATGGATCTGCATACCAGTGTCATGCTTGAATAGTGCTGACGCTGTGTTCATCAACAAGGACATGGGAAGCATGTACTTACCAGCCTATTCCCTCCAAATGACACAAGCCTCGTAGAATTAGATTCTAAGCAAATGATGTGTTCACCAGGTGAATGTGAAGTAAAATAGAATGTCCCTTGCGGGCCATATAGCTTCGACAATATTACCTAGAATTAAGGATTTCCATAGATTGAGTTTATTATTTCCTAGTTTCCATTCTTAAAAATAAATCTCGTCTATATATTATCTAGTAAAAAATTGTGCCATTCCTAAACAAGAAATCAAATGGCTAATAAACATGAAAAATATTCAGCCTTGCTAGTAATTAAAAAATTCAAACTACAGTAAGATAGCCCTTGTTCATGGTCAGATTGACAAAGATTTAAAAGTATCCAGGGATAGTATGGAGAAAACACTCTCCCACTACTGTTGCCCCACAGAATATCCCAGGAACTGTGGAACAACTACAAAAGGTGTAACTTGACACATAATGGGAGTACCGAATGGAAGAGAAACAGAGAAAAGAAAAGAAGAAATATTTGAAGCAATAATGACTGAGAATTTTTCCCCAAATTAATATCAGATACCAAGCCATAGATTCAGGAAGCTCAGAGTATACCAAACAGGATTAATCCCCTCACCCCCTCATGAAATCCCCTCAACCCCAAGATGAAACCAAAAAGCTACAGCTAGGAATATCATTAAAACTGCAGAGAAGCAAACACGAATAAGAAAATCTTGAGCAGCCAGAGAGGGGAAAAACCTTACTTACAGAGCAGCAAACGTAAAAATTGCATCTGACCTCTCCTCAGAAGCTATGCAAACAAGAAGAGAGTAGAGTGAAATATTTAATGTATTGGGAATAAAAAATGACCAACCTAGACTTTGGTATCCTGCAAAATTATCCTGCAAGAGATAAGAGGAAGTAAAGCGTTTCTCAAACAAATAAAAACTGAAGGAATTTTTGCTGGTAGATCTGCCTTGTAAGAAATGTTAAAAGAAGTTCTTCAGAAAGAAGGAAAATTATGTAGGTCAGAAACTCAAATCTGCATAAAGGATGAGCATTAGAAAAGTGGAGGTAAAATTGAAACTTTCTATTTTCTTATTCTTTTTTTTTTTTTTTTTTTGACGGAGTCTTGCTCTGTCGCCCAGCCTGGAGTGCAGTGGCGCAATCTCGGTTCACTGCAAGCTCCGCCTACTGGGTTCATGCCATTCTCCTGCCTTAGCCTCCAGAGTAGCCAGGACTACAGGCGCTCGCCACCACGCCTGGCTAATTTTTTGTATTTTTAGTAGAGATGGGATTTCACCATGTTGGCCTGGATAGTCTTGATCTTTTGACCTTGTGATCCGCCTGTCTCGGCCTCCCAAAGTGCTGGGATTACAGGCGTGAGCCATCGCGCCCAGCCTCTATTTTCTTATTCCTTTTTTTTTTTTTTTTTTTTTTTTTGAGACGGAGTCTCGCTCTGTCGCCCAGGCTGGAGTGCAGTGGCGCAATCTCGGCTCACTGCAAGCTCCGCCTCCCGGGTTCACGCCATTCTCCTACCTCAGCCTCCCCAGTAGCTGGGACTACAGGCGCCCGCCACTGCGCCCGGCTAATTTTTTTCTATTTTTTAGTAGAGACGGGGTTTCACCATGGTCTCGATCTCCTGACCTTGTGATCCGCCCGCCTCGGCCTCCCAAAGCTGACCTAAGAAATACCACTTTATTCAAGATAATGGCAACAATGTATCGAATGATCATAGTTTACATGTAAGTGAAATTAATGATAGCCATGATAAAATTAGGGGCAGCAAGGAAGAATTAGGAATACTTGGCTAATTAAAGGCACTTGAGGCTAGGCATGGTGGCTCACGCCTGTAATCCCCGCACTTTGAGAGGCTGAGGCAGGCGGATCACCTGAGGTCAGAAGTTCAAGACCAGCCTGGCCAACATGGTGAAACCCTGTCTCTACTAAAAAATACAAAAAAAAAAAAAAAAATTAGCTAGGCGTGGTGGCGGGTGCCTGTAATTCCAGCTACTCAGAGGGCTGAGGCAGGGAGAATTGCTTGAACCTGGGAGGCAGAGGTTACAGTGAGCTGAGTTCACGCCAGCCTGGGTGACAGAGTGAGACTTCATCTCAAAAAAAAAAAAAGGCATTACCTGTAAAGTGGTAGTGTATAGTGTTATTTGAAATTAGATTTGGACTAGTTGTGAATGTATATGGCAAACTCTAGGGCAACTTTATATGCTAACAGAGAGAATGGAATCACAGAAAATGCTCAATTAAAACCACAAAAGGCGTGGAAAAGAGGAGAAGAAAAAAATAGAACAAAGAATGAGGGCAACGAATAAAAAATGGTAACAAATATGGCAGATAATCCAGCTATATAAATCATCACCTTAAATGTTAATGATCTGTGTCTTTGACCTCAGTAGAGTGGCACCTGGTTGGCGGTGCCCATCTTCTATTAGCCAGGGACAAAGCAACCCCTCGTTCATCCCAGCTTGGCTTTTGATCTGTACCCATACCTGGTTCATGCCTTGGACACATGGAAAAAAAATGTCTATGGTCTAAATACACCAGGTAAAAAATAGAGTGGATCAAAGAATGAGACCCAACTATATGTTGTCTATAAGAAAATCATTTGAAATGTAAAGACACATAGATTAAAAATGAAGGGCTAGAGAAAGATACACCATGCTAACCTTAATCAAAAGAAGGCTGGAGTAGCTCTATTAATTTCAGGCAGAGTAGACTTCAAAAGCAATGAAAATTATCAGGGATAATTACATAATGGAGCAGTACATAATGCTACAGGGGTTAATTCTCTAAGAAGACAACAATCCTCAACGTGTATGCACCTGACAATAGAGCATGAAAATATGTGAAGTAAAGCCTGATAGAACTGCAAGGAAAAAATAGATGAACACTTTATTATAGTTGTTTTCAACCCCTTCTGTCAAAAATGGACAGATCCTGCAGGCCAAGATCAGTAAGGACATCATTGAACTCAGTAGCACCATCAGTTGACTGGACATAATTGACACCTATGATTACTTTATCTAATGATAGCAGAGGACACATTTTTCTCAAGTTCATATGGAACATTCACCAATGTAGAACACATTCTGGGCGATATATCACACCTTAACGAATTTAAAATAATAGAAATCATACAATGTATGTTCTCAGGCCACAATGAAATTAAACTGGAAATCAGTAACAGAGAGATAGCTGGAAAATTGCAAAATACTTGGAGATTAAACAGCACACTTCTAATTAACACATGGGTCAAAGAAGAAAAGACAAAATTAAACTACAACTTATCAAAATTTGTGGGATGCGACAAAAGCAGTGACTAGAGGGAAATTGAAAGCATTGAATCCATATACAGTTGGCTCTCTGTAATACCAGGTTTCACTCCTGGATTGAACCAGCCATGGACTGAAAATATTTGAAATATGTATATATAACAAAAATAATACAAGTGGAAAAACTACAGTGTAACAACTCTGCAGCATTTACATTGTATTAGATATAAGTAATCTAGACGTGATTTAAATTAATGCGAGGATATGCACTAGTTACCTGCAAACTACACCATTTCATATAAGGGACTTGAGCATCTTCAGAATTTTATATCTTTGGAGAGTCCTGGAACCAATACCCCGCAAATACCAAGGGATGACTGTATTCGAAAGCAAGATCTAAAATTAATAATCTAAGCTTCTACCTAAGGAAACTAGAAAAAGAAGAGAAAATTAAGTGCAAAGTAAGCAGCAGAAGAAAAATAAAAACAGCAGAATCAATTAAAAACAAGAAATAGAAAAAAATCAACAAAACCAAAAGCTGATTCTTAGAAAAGGTTAAAAAGCTTCTAGCCAAACTAAGAAAAAAATGAAGATGACACAAATTACTAATATCAGAAACAAAAGAAGGGGCATCGTTACAAATCCCATGGACATGAAAAGAATAATAAAGAAATACTGTGAACAACTCCATGCCCACAAATTTGATAACCTAGGTGAAACCAATTCCTTGAAATACACAATCTAATAAAATACAAGAAGTAGACAATCTGAATAGGCGTATATCTAGTAAGAGGTTGAATCAATAGAAACTTCCCAAAGCAGAAAGCACCAGGCCTAGATGGGTTCAGTGGTGAATTCCACCAAACATTTAAGGAAGAAATTGTGCCAATTCTCTACAATCTCTTCCAGAAGATAGACGCAGAAGGAATACTTCCTAATTTCATTTTATGAGGCCAGCATTACCCTAATACCACAACCAGACAAAGACATTATAAGAAAACTACATATCATTATATCTCATGAATATAGATGCAAAAACCCTTAACAAAATATTAGCAAATGAAAATCCAACAATATATAAAAATTATATACCACAACCAAGTGGGTCTTATTACAGATATGCAATTAGCATTAGAAATCAATTAGTGTAATTCATCACATCAGTAGGTGAAAGAAGAAAAATCATACCATCATATCAATAGATGCAGAAAAAGCATTTAACAACAGCCAACACCCATTTATGATAAAAATGCATCAAACAAGGAACACAGGGGAACTTAATTTGATGATGAACATCTACAAAAAAACCTATAGCTATTATACTTATTGGTCAGAAACTAGAAGCCTTTTCTTGGTGGACTGGAAGTCCTGGCTAATGCAGTAGAAGGAAATAAGGAGTTTGGGAAGGACAAAATAAACTTTGTTCACAGGTGACATGACTGTTTATGTGTAAAACCCAAAAGAATTGAGAAACTGCCAGAACTAGTAAGTGATTATAGTAAAGTTGCAGGGTACAAGATGAATATAAGAAAGTGAATCACTTTCCTGTATACTAACAATGAACAAGTGGAATGTGAAATAAAAAGCACAGTATCATTTACATTAGCACCCTCCCTCAAATTACTTATTTATAAATCTAACAATATGTGCAAGACCTATATGAGGAAAACAAAACTGTGGTGAAAGAAATGGAGAGAAGTCCATGTTCATAGATAAGAAGACTTCTTATTGTCAAAATCTCAGTTCTTCTCAACTTGATCTATAAATTCAACAGAATCCCAGTAAAATCCTAAAACTATTTTGTGAATATTGACAAGCTGATTCTAATATTTATATGGAGAAACAAAAGACCCATAATAGCCAACACAATATTGAGGGAGAAGAATAAAAGAGGACTAAGACTACCCAACTTTAAGATTTACTATGAAGCTGCAGTAGTCAAGACAGTGTGATATTGGTGAAAGAATAGACAAACAGATCAATGGAACAGAATAGAGAGTTCAGATGTTGTTTCAGGCAATTTCAATTTTCAAAGAATGAGTCTTCTATGTCTTTTAAAAAAACAGTGAATGTTTTTTAATGTGATAGTTTTTGGCTCAACTAAAATTTGGCTCTGGGTTTAATGTGCTTTGGAGACATTTTCAGATTGGTCATTAAGGATTATTGGGAAAGTACAAAAGAGAATTGGGGTTTGATATAACGGATCAGAAAGTGGGCTAGAAGCGTAGATGTGGGTGTGTAGAGAAGAGGGGGTAGCTGTCTTGACAAGTGCTGGAGCTAGGAAAACAGTCCCAGTGGAATTATTGTCAGTGAGGTGCCAGATGTGCCAAGAGAAAACTATTGAACAGGTAAAAATCAAGTGTCCAAAAATCCAACTGGATTGGAGTCTTCGGCATAGCGCTCTGTCTCCACATAAGTGGGGGTGTCATGGTGTCTTCCTGAGCTTGGGTCAACCAGTTACCCAGTTTTATGAGAGTGGGAGTCCTGTCCTGCCTACTTCAAGCACCCTTTTCTTGCCAGACTGTTCTGTTCTCCAAGTCTTTGGTCCACAACCATTCTGCTACCCCATGAGCACAACTCCAGGACAACTAGGTTTGAGTTAGTGAACTGAGGAATTCATTGTCTTGAGCTTACATAGTGGGGAATGGATATCTCTGTTATATCCATTGTATATATGAGAAAACAACATCAAAGCAGTCAAATAACCCTTCCAAGGTTTTAGCTTATATGTGACAATCCATGCTTGAGTTTGATTCTGACTCCAAAATCCATATTCTTTCCACATTACCTGGTGACTTTTGTACTCCTCTGCTAACTCCTAGTGAGTAAGAGGTATATAAGACCGGGTAGTCCCTGAGGCTGCTGCATTGCTAGAGAACACCCATGCCAAAATGGGAGGAGGGAGGAGTTGGCTTATCTGACCCTTATGCTTGGGTGGGGCTGCAGCACCAGCAAAGCAGATGGGGCCTGGGTGGTGCAAAACCACAGGGGTGCTTTGGCCCTAAGGTCCCTTTTGCTTAGCAATATCAGCAGACCTCAAGATGGCACATCTGGGGCTCCTCATTTTATTTTTTAAAAGCTTTTTATGTTATGAAGCCTGTCTCTGCTTCTCAACTAAACTATAGGCTCATTGAGGGCAGGCACTTTCTATGTTTTTATGTCATGCTATCATTCAGTGCTATATGCATTAAAAATTGTTAATGCTGGTGTGTAAGTGCTTCTGTAGAGATTTTAAAACTGGGCTACATGATACCTGAATTTTTGGCAAATGAAAAATTTTAGTAACAAAGTATAAAAGAATGTTTTACCTCACCATTGTAAGTTGTAATAGTCACAAACATTCCCAAACCAGGAGCAGATTCAAGGAACGTATGTCTGCCTGTGTCCCATTGCTGTATCTTGAAAGTCCCTGTTTCAAAAATATAAGACATTACAAAATGTAAGAAACAGTAATAATGTTTATTAGATGTTACTGCTAAATTAAATGAATTTGTCTTTCTCAGTTTACCTAAATCGTAAAACACTCTTAGTCTGAAGACCTATAACTTGGTGATTAGGTATCTAACAGAGTAGAGGACTCTGGAATATAGAGGAAGACTTGAGTTCTTCATTTCTCACGCTTGTTGACTAGGTAACTTGACAAATTATTTCACCACTCTAAGCCTCCATTTTCTATTCAGAAAAATAGGGGTAATATATATCCCTCTCAAATCTCAGTTGTGAGAACTGCCGAAAATAAGCATATGAAAGGTTTCCACCTAGAATGTAAACTCCATGTGAGCTGCCATTAAGAGAGAGAACTCTTGGACTTTTTCCAATACCTCCCCAGTAGTTCTCCCTGCTTTAACTTCTTCCTCCCATAACTTGGTCCCATACACTTCCAGCAGAATTCCTTGCTAAAACATCAGTATAGTCATGTCAAATCTTTCATTTCATTGTCTTCAGAGGTTTCTGCTGAAGGCTGGATCTGAAGGAGTCTCTGCCTTTCTCCCATTAGTATGTGGTAGCTATCATATGGCTTAAATTCCCTCATGTGCCCTTGAAAGGTACAATGGGAATGAAAACCCAGCTAACATTTGTTGGACCCATATTTTGTGCCAGGCACTGTGCTAAGCACTTAACTTGCATCACTCATGTATAGATTTATATAAGTATAATATATGCTTATAAAGTACAAATATTATAAAATTTTATAAAGGTGAGGGAAAAGGCACTACACTGAGTTTGAATCCTGACTACTA